TCCCTGCTCACTTTCCCCTGCAGGAGTGTTATTTCCTTCTTGCCATCCTTCTCCCACATCAGTGCCTGGTGGCAATTACCCCTGTGCTGTGTCCCACCTGCTCAGCCCCGCGGGCAGGTTACCACCTCCGCATCCTGGGATGCCTTCTCCATGCACCCATGGTTGCTGCCTGCCGTGCAGGAGGGAGCTGGGGACCTTTGGGTGCAGAGGCACTGGGAAAGCCTGTTCCCGTGGTACCATTTGTGCTCCTTGCCATGGTGAGGCAGATCTCGCACTTAGCCTTTCTAAGAAAGCCAATGCTTCCATGGCACAGCAGCCCCAGGCTGCTCTTCCTTGTCCCAGCACCCCCACCATCCCCAGGATGTGGTGCTTCAACAGCTCCAAATGCAACTCACGGCTCCCCAGTCCTCTTTTTTTGAGAGAGAAAGAGAACTCCAACTAATGCCAAAAGGAGGACAGGCCTGCTGGGGATTGCAGTTCACTTTTTAATTTTGAGATGCCTCGTTAGCTCTGGGCCGAGCTGAGCGGCTGAGAAGCGTCAGCCACTCGGTCTCCTCCTCTCTCCCCCACCCCCTTGGAAACCCATTAGGCCGATGAGCAGGTCGGCTCTCAGGGGTGGTCCTGTGGTGATGAGTGTGACGTGCTCATCTGGGGAGCTGGGCTGAATAGGGGGACAGGGTAGAAAGAGAGAAAGTTGGAGCCATGTGAGGGTGATGGAAAAATCTGGGAGCACCTCCTCCAGAAAGCAATCCCAGCTCTGTGGGCGCAGCCCAAGGGGGTCAGGCACCAGGTGAGGTGGAGTGGAGGGGGTGGTGTTGAGAGGCATGCTGTGGGGTCAGCAGGTACATAAACCTTTCCAGCCTGGGAAGCCCTGGACAGTCCCCTCTTCTCAACCACTGTCCCCCACACCCCAGAGCAGTATACCATGTTGGGGAGATGTGGGACATGTAGGGACCACAAAGCCCAATTTTCATGGACTTAGCAAGAAGATAGCCTGGGGCTGAAAGGGCAGGGGGTCATTGCAAAGCAGGTTTAAGGGTCTTGGCCAGGATTGTGGTGGGGATGTGGAACAGCATTGGAGGAGAGATTTGCAGGGTAGGAGTGAGATCCAGCAAGGGCTCTTGGTCTACTGAAGTGGGAAATCTTTGTCCTGGTACTGCAAGATCAGCAACGATGCAGAGTGAGGTCTTTTGTCAGGGTGTACTGGGGAGTGCTCTCAGCTTTGGGGGAGCAGGGCAGCGTATCTCACAGGGACATCAAATGGTGGGTGGGTGTCATCCAGCTGGCCATGGCCTGGGGGATGGACAGTAAGGGGGACACTGTTTGGCAGGTGTGTTGCAAGCCAGATGACAGTAAGGCAAGCAAGATGTTCATGATTCAGGACTGGATGAGCAGGGGATGCTGCAGATCAGGTCTGGGAAGCATTGCAGAGCCACGGGTGGGGGAGAGAAGGAGCTTTCAGATCAGCACCCTGGTTCTTGTAAGTGCTCTTAGGCACTCAGTTTCAGAAGCATTAGTTCCATAGGAGAAAGAAAAAAAAAAAAAAAAAAAAAGGAAAGGAAGATGGTATTGCCCTCAGGTAGAGAGAGAAGGCAATGAAGGAAAGGCAGGAAGATCCCACTTGAGCTCAGTGACTCAGCTGCTCTCTACTGGTGCAACATTTCCAGCCCAAAACTTTGCTAGAGTTTCAAGCTCTGCTTCCCAGGAGCAGATGGAAAGGGGGCCCTGTATGTTTTCCCAGCATCATTTACAGATCTTGTTAGCCGAAAGCAAGGTGAGGACATTCTCTACTCCTTGCCCCCGGTTCACCTAGAGTGCAGAGTTTCTACTGTTTCTCTTGGGTGGTGTGCACAATGTCTGAAAATGCCTGGTGAAAAGGGAAGGACTGGG